TACCAGTTTTACAGTTGGCCAAGTGTACATACATAAACAAAAAATTTGACTTACTTTTAGTTTTCAGTTGAGCCTCACTGACGCTCTCGCCCAAATCGTTTCTGGCCACCACCTTATAGTTTCCCTCGTCGCTGAGGGCGACTTTATGGAAAATTAATTTGTAAGTCTCATTGGCCAAATCTTCAACGATAGAAATCGAATCGCCTGCTTTGATTGGTCGCCCGTCTTTTGTCCAGGAAACTTCAGCCAAAGGATTCGCCTATACGAAAGAATTTGATTTTTTCCAACCATATACAGGGTGATTCATTTAACTTCGAGATATTAGACTGTTTCAAGTGATATGGACCACCCTGTATAAAAAATTGAATTTTTATCGACTCACCCGAATGATCGCAGCGAATTCGGCGGCTTCGCCCGGCACAACCTTCACATCTTCCGGACCTTCGATTTCCGGCCTCAGGACGATCATCAAACGAGCTGCGGCCTCCAGCTCGCCCCACTTATTTTTCGCCCGCATCGTATATTCGCCTCGGTCGAATGTTTCGCCTACGAATATGAATTATTTAAAATTCCAGGAAATTACATAAAATTCGACTTACATTTGGGAATTGTCAATTTGTACGTGCACTCTTTGAGTCCGTCCTCGATTTCGTGATCTTCGGTTTCGATGACGATTTTACTTTTTTCGAATTCCAGATTCGTAATGGGTTTGTTGTCTTTTAACCAATGAACTTCCGGTATCGGATCGCCGATTAAAATCGCCTCAAAAGTGACGCCATTTTTCTTGGTAACGGTCGCGTCTTCGATGCCCTTTTTCAATTTCGGTCTGCGCAGTTCTTTTTCGGCTGAAAAAAACAAATATAAGCGTACGCCACTGTAAAAGCCTTTATAATAATAAAGACGCTGAGCAAGAGATATTGCCCCTCTTAATATAAAGACGCTGAGTAAGAGATATTGCCCCTCTTATTATAAAGGTGCTGAGTAAACGGTATTGCACTGTAAAAGTACCGTCATATCAAGGTTCAATTTCTGACAATTTCCGGCTCTTGATTGGATCAAAAATTGAATTTTTTGATTATTCCCAGCTCTTGATTGGCTCCAGATTTTGAATTTTTTCGGCCGTTGATTGACTTTAAAAATTCAAATTTTGTTCATTTTCGGCACTTCAAAGATTGTTTTTGGAGAGCCGGCAATATTTAAAATTTGAAGCCAATCAAGAGCCGGGAATAATCCAAAAATTCAATTTCTAAACCAATCATGAGTCAAAATTTGTTGCAATATTATTTAGAAACGTTCGAACTCGTTGAAATGAGTTTTTTTGGGTTAGTTTTGGACTGTTTCAACGGGTTCCAAAAAATATATAACGTTCCAATTATGTAGTTGGAAAAAATCGTTCCAAAACTGTTTGAATTCACAAGAACTCGTTGCAGTGAATTTTTGGACTGTTTCAGCAAGTTCCAAAAAGTTCACGACGTTCCAATATTATTTAAAAACTCGTTAAAATGAATTTTTAAGGTTAGTTTGGGTTAGTTTTGAACTGTTCCAACAAGTTCCAAAAAATTTATATCGTTTCAATTATCCTAAAAAATCGTTCCAAAACTATTTGAACTCATTGAAACTTGTTGGAATCAGTTTTTTGGAGTGTTTCAGCAAGTTCCAAAAAATTCAAGACGTTCCAATATTATTTAGAAACGTCGAACTCGTTAAAAGAAATTTTTTGGGTTGATTTGGGTTAGTTTTAGACCGTTCCAACGAGATCCAAAAAATGTATAACATTTCAATTAATTTAAAAAATCGTTCCAATACTGTTTAAATTTATTAGAACTCGTTGAAGTGAATTTTTTGGACTGTTTCAACGAATTCCAAAAATTTTTTAAAACTTTAACGAATTCAAAAACTTGTTCCAACGCTATTTGGAAACATTCAAACTCGTTGTAGTGGTTTTTTCGACTGTTCCAACGAATTCCAAAAAGTTTATAACGTTCCAACAAATTCATATACTCGTTCTAGTATTATTTGGAAACATTAATGTGTATTTTTTGAACTGTTTCAACAAGTTCCAAAAAATTTATAAAAATCCAACGAACTCGAAAACTCGTTCCAACGCTATTTGGAAGCATTAGAACTCGTTGGAGTGGGTTTTACTCATTCCAGTATTATTTGGAAACATTATAATTAATTAATGTGAGTTTTTTGAACGGTTTCAACGAGTTCCAAAAAATTTATAAAGCTCCAACGAATTCAAAAACTCGTTCCAACGCTATTTGAAAACATCAAAACTCGTTGGATTAAGTTTTTTGGACTGTTCCAACAAGTTCCAAAAAGTTTATAACGTTCCAACAAATTCATATACTCGTTCTAGTATTATTTGGAAACTTTAATGTGTATTTTTTGAACTGTTTCAACAAGTTCCAAAAAATTTATAAAAATCCAACGAATTCGAAAACTCGTTCCAACGCTATTTGGAAGCATTAGAACTCGTTGGAGTGGGTTTTACTCATTCCAGTATTATTTGGAAACATTATAATTAATTAATGTGAGTTTTTTGAACGGTTTCAACGAGTTCCAAAAAATTTATAAAGCTCCAACGAATTCAAAAACTCGTTCCAACGCTATTTGAAAACATCAAAACTCGTTGGATTAAGTTTTTTGGACTGTTCCAACAAGTTCCAAAAAGTTTATAACGTTCCAACAAATTCATATACTCGTTCTAGTATTATTTGGAAACTTTAATGTGTATTTTTTGAACTGTTTCAACAAGTTCCAAAAAATTTATAAAAATCCAACGAATTCGAAAACTCGTTCCAGCGCTATTTGGAAGCATTAGAACTCGTTGGAGTGGGTTTTACTCATTCCAGTATTATTTGGAAACATTATAATTAATTAATGTGAGTTTTTTGAACGGTTTCAACGAGTTCCAAAAAATTTATAAAGCTCCAACGAATTCAAAAACTCGTTCCAACGCTATTTGAAAACATCAAAACTCGTTGGATTAAGTTTTTTGGACTGTTCCAACAAGTTCCAAAAAGTTTATAACGTTCCAACAAATTCATATACTCGTTCTAGTATTATTTGGAAACTTTAATGTGTATTTTTTGAACTGTTTCAACAAGTTCCAAAAAATTTATAAAAATCCAACGAATTCGAAAACTCGTTCCAGCGCTATTTGGAAGCATTAGAACTCGTTGGAGTGGGTTTTACTCATTCCAGTATTATTTGGAAACATTATAATTAATTAATGTGAGTTTTTTGAACGGTTTCAACGAGTTCCAAAAAATTTATAAAGCTCCAACGAATTCAAAAACTCGTTCCAACGCTATTTGAAAACATCCAAACTCGTTGGATTAAGTTTTTTGTACTGTTCCAGCAAGTTCCAAAAAGTTTATAACGTTCCAACAAATTCATATACTCGTTCTAGTATTATTTGGAAACTTTAATGTGTATTTTTTGAACTGTTTCAACAAGTTCCAAAAAATTTATAAAAATCCAACGAATTCGAAAACTCGTTCCAGCGCTATTTGGAAGCATTAGAACTCGTTGGAGTGGGTTTTACTCATTCCAGTATTATTTGGAAACATTATAATTAATTAATGTGAGTTTTTTGAACGGTTTCAACGAGTTCCAAAAAATTTATAAAGCTCCAACGAATTCAAAAACTCGTTCCAACGCTATTTGAAAACATCAAAACTCGTTGGATTAAGTTTTTTGGACTGTTCCAACAAGTTCCAAAAAGTTTATAACGTTCCAACAAATTCATATACTCGTTCTAGTATTATTTGGAAACTTTAATGTGTATTTTTTGAACTGTTTCAACAAGTTCCAAAAAATTTATAAAAATCCAACGAATTCGAAAACTCGTTCCAGCGCTATTTGGAAGCATTAGAACTCGTTGGAGTGGGTTTTACTCATTCCAGTATTATTTGGAAACATTATAATTAATTAATGTGAGTTTTTTGAACGGTTTCAACGAGTTCCAAAAAATTTATAAAGCTCCAACGAATTCAAAAACTCGTTCCAACGCTATTTGAAAACATCCAAACTCGTTGGATTAAGTTTTTTGTACTGTTCCAGCAAGTTCCAAAAAGTTTATAACGTTCCAACAAATTCATATACTCATTTCAGTATTATTTGGAAACATTAGAACTAGTTAATGTGAGTTTTTTGAACTGTTTCAACGAGTTCCAAAAAATTTATAAAGCTCCAACGAATTCGAAAACTTGTTCCAACGCTATTTGGAAGTATTAAAACTCGTTAGAGTGAATTTTTTTGGAAGTTCCAAAAAGTTTTTAACGTTTCAACAAATTCAAATACTCGTTTCAATATTATTTTGGAACATTAGAACTCGTTAAAGTGAGTTTTTTCGACTGTTCCAACGAGTTTCAAAAAAACTTATAAAGCCCTAACGAATTCGAAAACTCGTTCCAACGCTATTTGGAAATATCAGAACTGGTTGGAGTGGTTTTTTTGGACTGTTCCAACGAGATCCAAGAAATTTAAAAAGTTTCAACAAATTCAAAATCTCTGTTCCAACGAGTTTTTGAAACGTCTTAAAAAAATTCAAAATTTACAAAAACTCCTTCCAAGTCGTTAAACGAAATTTTAAACTGTTCCAAAGAGGTTTTAAAACGTTCCAACAAGTTTCTAACATGTTCCAACGAGATTCTAATCCGTTTAAAAATTGATGTTCCAGAATTTGTTGAAATTAAATTTTTTCCAACTAGTTTTCAATTTGTTCCAACGAAATCTGAGAATTTTTTGGAACATTTTACAAAGTTCCAATTTTTTTAAAACAATCTAAATTTGTTCCAACGAGGTTCGAGAAGTTTTTGGAACATTCTTGACCGTTCCAGAATTTTTTTGAAGGTTCTAACGAGTTTCGAGAAATTTTTGGAACATTCTTTGAACTCTCTACAACATTCAATTTAAGTTGAAATTTTCTTTTGGAACATTCTAGAATTTTTTGAAACAATTTAATTTTTTTTCAATAAGTTTTCAATTTGTTCCAACGAGTTCTGAGAAATTTTTGGAACATTCCTAAACTTTCTGCAACATTTCGAACCACACAATTTCGATGTGAAACTTTTTTTTTGGAACATTCTAGAATTATTTGAAACAATTTAAATTTTTTCTCAGCGAGTTTTCAATTTGTTCCAACGAGTTTTGAGAATTTTTTGAAACATTTTAGAAAGTTCTAATTTTTTTTTATAACAATCTAAATTTGTTCCAACGAGTTTTGAAAAGTTTTTAGAACATTCATGACCGTTCCAGAATTTTTTTGAAGCAATCTAAATTTGTTTCAACGAGTTTTGAGAAGTTTTTGGAACATTCTTGACCGTACTAGAATTTTCTTGAAGGTTCTAACGAGTTTTGAGAAATTTTTGGAACATTCTTTGAACTCTCTACAACATTCCGAACAACTCAATTTGAGTTGAAATTTTCTTTTGGAACTTTCTAGAATTTTTTGAAACAATTTAATTTTTTTTTTAGCGAGTTTTCAATTTGTTCCAACGAGTTCTGAGAATTTTTTGGAACATTTTAGAAAGTTCCAATTTTTTTTTAAAACAATCTAAATTTGTTCCAACAAATTTTTAAAAGTTTTTGGAACATTCATGATCGTTCCAGAATTTTTTTGAAGCAATCTAAATTTGTTCCAACGAGTTTTGAAACATTCTTTGAACTCTCTGCAACATTCCGAACAACTCAATTTCAGTTGATTTTTTTTTGGAACATTTTTTGAAACAATTTAAATTTTTTTTCAACGAATTTTCAATTTGTTCCAACGAGTTCTGAGAAATTTTTGGAACATTCTATTCTAGAAAGTTCCAAAATATTTTGAACCATTTTAAATCTAGTTTTTCATTGAGGTAAGTGACAGAAACTTTTATTCAAAAACAAGTTTCCTTTAGGGAAATTTATTATTTTTAGGGAATTTTTTTGCTTAATTTGGGGCTGTTTTTTTTTTTCATTTTTTGAGGTTATTTGGCAACGCCGCTTTCCAGCTCTTGATTGGCTTTCAAATTCAAATTTAAATTATTCCCAGCTCTTTGATTGGCTTTCAAATTGGACAACATCGGGTCGGTAATACAGAGCTCTGTCATACCAAAAGGCTCGGTAATACAGAATGAAAAATTCGAGACCGCATTGAGTAGAGGTAACGTGCGACATTTTGTCTACGACATTTTTTTTTTTTTCCGAATCAAAAATCGAGAATTTCTAGCTAAAAAAATTGGCTTTGAAATTGGTTGGCATAATACTCAGTGAAGATTAGTAATTTTTGACAAATGTCAGCTGTCAAAATATGACAATATGACTTACGAGTGACTTCCAAAACGGCCTGTTGCTTGACACTGCCGACAGGATTGGTGAGGACGCACTCGTAAACTCCGGCATCTTTCATTTGCAACTTTTGAATTTCCAATTTGAACTCTTCGCCATTTTGGCTGGCGGTCATGCGCAGGTGCGCGTCAGGCACGATTGCTTTGCCCTACAATTTTTATTTCAATAAAATTAGTGCAAGAATATTCGAATTTTACTCACATTCAAGGTCCAAGTGGCCTCTGGCGGCGGATTGGCGAACCCTCTCGCTATGTAAGTGACGTCCAAGGATTCCGGCCGGGAACCGTCTTTCATGTTGGTGTCAAGAATTATTGGTTCGGCTAAAAAATTGGACATTTAATAGGTTGGACGTGACTTGCGCTCACCCCCCCTTTTTCTCAAGAGGGAGGAGCTTGCTTATAAGGAATGGAGGGGGTAGACAATAGTGACGCACAATCTACTGGAATTTTGTTAGTAGAGATTTCGTGTATTGGGTGCAACTTACCAGCCAGCAGGTTAATAAAGAAGCGTTTTGATGCAATAATTTATACCTTCTTGTGGTATTTTCTTTTCTTTTCTTTCTTGTTCATTTTTCGTAATAGTTTCTTCGTCTTGTCCATTTTGAAACAAGTTAACATCCGATTGGACTGTTTCAACCGATGGTACGAAATGTTCGGGTTCTTCCGCCACGGCCGATATCGGAGACGATGGTTCTTCGATAATGGGTTCCCCAATTTGTATTTCACCTAAATTTTTTATACAGAAGTTGTTTCGAATTTTCTAGTAAAAGCTGCTGTTATTGATTAATGCTGGTAGAAAAATCACATTCTAGAACGTTCCAAAAGTTTCTCAAAACTCGTTCATTTAAATTGGTTCAAAGTATTTTGGAACTTCTAGAATGTTCCAAAAAATTCGCAGAACTCGTTGGAACAAATTGAAAACTCGTTGAAAAAAATTTAAATTGTTTCAAAAAATGTTCCAAAAAAAAAATCAACTGAAATTGAGTTGTTGGGAATGTCGTACAGAGTTTAAAGAATGTTCCAAAAACTTCTCAAAACTCGTTGGAACAAATTTAGATTGCTTCGAAAAAATTCTGGAACGATCATGAATGTTCCAAAAACTTCTCGAAACTCGTTGGACCAAATTTAGATTGTTTAAAAAAAAAATTGAAACTTTCTAAAATGTTCCAAAAGATTCTCAGATTTCGTTGGAACAAATTGAAAACTCGTTGGAAAAAATTTAATTTCAACAAATTTTGGAACATCAATTTTTAAGCGGATTAAAAGCTCGTTGAAACGTGTTGTTGGAACGTTTTAAAACCTCTTTGGAACAGTTTAAAATTTCGTTTTAACGACTTCGGAAGGAGTTTTTGTAAATTTCGAATTTTTTTAAGACATTTAAAAAATTCGTTGGAACAGAGATTTTGAATTTGTTGGAACTTTTTAATTTTTTTTGGAATTCGTTGAAAAAATCCACTCCAACGAGTTTTAATGTTTCCAAATAGCGTTGGAACAAGTTTTTAAATTCGTTAAAGTTTTATAAATTTTTTGGAACTCGTTGAAACAGTCCAAAAAATTCACTCCAACGAGTTCTGATAAATTCAAACAGGTTTGAAACGATTTTTTAAATTAATTGAAATGTTATACATTTTTTGGAGCTCGTTGGAACAGTCCAAAATTAACTCAAAAAACTTCTTTTAACGAGTTCGAACTTTTCTAAATGATATTGGAACATCATGAACTTTTTGGAACTCGTTAAAACAGTCCAAAAAACTGATTCCAATGAGTTTCAATGAGTTCAAAAAGTTTTGGAACGATTTTTTAGGATAATTGAAACGATATAAATTTTTTGGAACTTGTTGGAACAATCTGAAATTAACCCAAATTAACCTTAAAAATTCATTTTACCGAGTTCGAACGTTGAAACAGATCAAAAAAATTCACATTAACGCGTTCTAATGTTTCCAAATAATACTGGAACGAGTATATGAATTTGTTAGACGTTATAAACTTTTTGGAACTTGTTGGAACAGTCCAAAAAACCCACTCCAACGGGTTCTAATATTTCCAAATACCGTTGGAACGAGTTTTCGAATTTGATAGGATTTTATAAATTTTTTGGAACTCGCTGGAACAGTTTAAAAATTTCGTTTTAACTAGGTTTAACAACTTTAAAACGAGTTTTTTGTTAATTTTGAACATTTTTGAAAGTTTTAATACTCGTTGGAACAACTCAAAAAAACTCACTTCAACGAGTTCTTATAAGTTCAAATATGTAGTATTGGAATGAATTTTTAAATAAATTGAAACGTTATAAATTTTTTTGGAAGTCGTTGGAACAGTCTAAAAAACTCATTCCAGCGAGTTCCAATGTTCCTAAACAGTATTGAAACGAGTTTTCGAATTTTTTGGATTTGTTGAAACTTTATAAATTTTTTGGAACTCGTTGAAACATTTTTGAAATGTTTCAAAACTCGTTGGAACTTTATAAATTTTTTGGAACTTGTTGGAATAGTCCAAAAAACTCACTCCAACGAGTTCCTATATGCGCAAATAGTATTGGAACGAATTTTTAAATAAATTGAAACGTTATAAATTTTTTTGGAACTCGTTGGAACAGTCCAAAAAGCTCACTCCAACGAGTTCCAATGTTCTTAAACATCATTGGAAAGAGTTTTTTGGATTTGTTGAAACTTTATACATTTTTTGGCACTCGTTCTTATAAGCGCAAATAGTATTGGAACGAATTTTTAAATGAATTGAAACGTTATAAATTTTTTTGGAACTCGTTGGAACAGTTCAAAAAACTCACTCCAACGAGTTCTTATAAGCGCAAATAGTATTGGAACGAATTTTTAAATAAATTGAAACGTTATAAATTTTTTTGGAACTCGTTGAACAGTCCAGAAAACTCACGCCAACGAGTTTCAATGTTCCTAAACAGCATTGGAACGAGTTTTCGAATTCTTTGGATTTGTTGAAACTTAATTTTTTGGAACTCGTTGAAACAGTTTGAAAATTTCGTTTTAACAAGCTTTAACAACTTTGAAACGAGTTTTTGTTAATTTCGAACATTTTTGAAACGTTTTAGAACTCGTTGAAACTTTATAAATCTTTTGAAACTCGTTGGAACAGTCCAAAAAACTCACTTTTACTAGTTCTAATGCTTCTAAATAATAGTCGAACGGTTTTTTGAATTTGTTGCAACGTTACAAACTTTTTGAAATTCGTTGAAACAGTACAAAAAACCCACTTTAACGAGTTCTAATGTTTCCAAATAGTATTGAAACGAGTTTTCGAATTTGTTGGAACTTTATAATTTTTTTGGAACTCATTGGAACAGTCCCGAAAACTCACTTTAACTAGTTTTAATGTTTTTAAACATTACTGGAACGAGTATATGAATTTGTTGGAACGTTATAAACTTTTTGGAACTTGTTGGAACAGTCCAAAAACCCACTCCAACGAGTTTTAATGTTTTCAAATAGCGTTGGAACGAGTTTTCGAATTCGCTGGAACTTTATAAATTTTTTGGAACAGCAGTCCAATCGGATTTCCATAGTCGATCGACTCGGTTTACATCGTTATATTTGAAGCGGCTCAAAAAACAAGAAAAACAATCTACCTCGGGTATTTTCGTCGACAATTTCCTGTTTTATTTTCAACGGTTCCGGTCCAGTTTCTTCGATGGCGTCAGTGTGAGTGACTTCTGTAATAATCGTGTTAGTAGACAAAGGATACGTATAAATACAATACAAAAAAAGAAGGGAATTTATATTATTAATCGGCCGTAGTAATTGGGAAAAATTGAAAAGTTCAAAATGGAAAATTTCAGTTTGTCTAGTCTTCATGTGTCCGAAATGAACAGTATGAACTTTTCATTTTTTCTAATAAATTTCCAGTTATTGGCCTACTAATGAAATCACAGGCCTGAAATTCACTTACTGTTCACCGTTACGAAACTTTTGCTGCTCGTCGTGCCCAGAGTGTTCGTAACGATCACCTCGTATTCGCCCTGTTCCTCGTATTTGATCAGATCGACGGCTAAATGCAGGGTTTCGTAGCGTCGCTTGTCCCTGGTGATTTTGATGCGGGCGTCGCTGTTGACCTCTCGGCCGTTGCGCAGCCATTTCACCGTCGGCTCAGGACAAGCGTCCACCTCGATTTCGAGGTGTAGGGCTGCCCCTTCCTCGACGGTCGCGTCCTGCAGGTGTTTGATTATTCTTGGAGCGCCTGCGCCAAAAATTCAGTTATGTTATATAGCGAGGAAAAATGAGCGCACGTCACTGTTTTATTAAAAAACTAGCATTTTTCGAAAAAATGGATTTTCCCAAACGACGCCTATATTAATTTTTCCCGTATATTCAACTTCCCTAAGAATTATCTTACAAATTGGCGCCCAACGTGGGGCCACAATGAGTTACAAGTTTTAGATTTTAGAAAAACAAAAATTCCATTGCATAGAGGAAGTCAAAACAAGCAAAAAAGCTATTTGGAATTTTTCTCTGGAACGTCTCCTAAGCCTGGAAAAAAAATTTAAAGAAAAATCTATCCAGCCTGACATGATCTTATTAAATCGGCCATAACTTTGGAACCCCTGGATCGATTTCAATGAATCATGTTCCATTCGATAGAGGATTAAATTGCCTACAAAATGGTTTCATCCAGAATTTCCAGATTTATCCCGTTTCCAAGTTAGCAGCCTTAAAAGTTGAAATTTTTTCAATTTAATGTTTAAAGTACCCAAATTTCCAAAAAATAATTTATGCAATCAAAAGTGTTTTTTTTTGTGACTGGGTTCAAACAAACGACGCCTATAAACGTCGAAAAGTTTACTCACAATTGACTGTAAGTTTAGCGCTGGTCTCGGCTGCGCCGCACTCGTTGCTCAACTTGCACGTGTACTGTCCCGATAATTCACTGGATACTTCTTTGATAATCAATTTAATTCCATCGTCAGATTCAATTCTCGTAAATTCCGTTCTGGTTTCTTTTATTTCGACTTCGTCCAGGTACCTGTGAGAATTTATTGTTAAAGGTCAATTCACACTTACGCTGCACTCAGCTTGGCGACGCCGCAATGCAAATTGTCGCTAAAGTGTAGTGGGGAATTTATCCATTTAAACCAATGAAATATTTATCTAGCGACAATTTGAAGCGCAAGTGAGAATCGACCTTAATAATTATTTGTCTCGAAAAATCTAGTTACCATTTGACCGCTGGCTTAGGGAAAGCCTCCAATTTTACATCCAAAGTAACATTTTGGTCGTTTTCGGTCACAATCATGTCCCGTAAACCCTGCACAATTTTCGGGGCTTTTTTAACGTCTACGCGAACCTCGTCTTCGCCGATACCGTGGGTATTCGTCGCTTTGAATTTGTATTTCGAGGCGTCTGTGGTCACGGCACCGGTTATACGAAGCATATAAACGTCTCCGTCTTCTTTGATGACGTAATGCTCGCTGGACTGAAGCTCTTCTTCGTCTTTGAACCTGAAAAATATACGAAATTAATTAAAGTAGTTTTCCATCAGAAGAGACAATTCACCATTTTATTTGCGCTTTGGGTTCGGCCTGGATTTCCACTTTTAGTTCGACGTTTTCGCCTTGTGACGTCACTTTATTCAGGCCCATTTTTTGGACAATTGTCGGACGGCTATAGACGTCTAGTTTCCAAAATTGCGACACTTGGGCGAGCTCGTTGCCGGCCACGACCGAGTAGCTGCCCGAATCGGTCAGGGCAGTTTTTTCCAATAGCAAACTGTACTTTTCGCCCTCTTTCGTTATTTTCGCGTTTTGGTGTTTGATTTCTTTGCCGTCTTTGTAGAATTGCACTTTCGGTTCGGGAATTCCGTCGATTTCCACTGACATTTTCAGCAGTTGACCGGCGTGGACGGCGAGGTCTTCCATTTTCGTTTTGATTTTCGGTGGAGCTGAAAATGGAAAATTTATTTTCAATGTTGGAAAATTGGGATTCCATTATTCCCTATTTTTCATTTTGATTTTCTATTAACATAGGTATGGCAGCACTTGAGCCTGGGAACTTTTCCGATACCGTGGGAAAATTCCCAGATTGTTGGCGTATTTGATTTGAGCGTAGTAACTTTTTTTTGATACTGTGAGAAAATCACAGTTATTCATTTTACTGAATCAAGTGGATGGAGAGTTGAAATTTTGAGGACTTTTCCCTATAAAGGCTCAATGTGAAAAATACTGAAAACTCAAAGCGATCGAGTTATTATTAATGGAGTTGTAAAGTCTTACTTTATAAAATATCATTATTTTCAAAAAATCGTAACTCCGTTAATAATAACTCAATCGCTTTGAGTTTTTGGTATTTTTTACATTGAATCATTAGGAAAAAGACCCCAAAATTTCAACTTTCCACTCCCCTTAGTTTTTGAGTGAAAAAATTGTTTGTAAAGTGTTACTTTACAAAACATCATTATTTTCAAAAAATCGTAACTCCATTAATAATAACTCAATCGCTTTGAGTTTTTGGTATTTTTTACATTGAATCATTAGGAAAAAGACCCCAAAATTTCAACTTTCCACTCCCCTTAGTTTTTGAGTGAAAAAATTGTTTGTAAAGTGTTACTTTACAAAACATCATTATTTTCAAAAAATCGTAACTCCATTAATAATAACTCAATCGCTTTGAGTTTTTGGTATTTTTTACATTGAATCATTAGGAAAAAGACCCCAAAATTTCAACTTTCCACTCCCTTTAGTTTTTGAGTGAAAAAATTGTTTGTAAAGTGTTACTTTACAAAACATCATTATTTTCAAAAAATCGTAACTCCATTAATAATAACTCAATCGCTTTGAGTTTTTGGTATTTTTTACATTGAATCATTAGGAAAAAGACCCCAAAATTTCAACTTTCCACTCCCCTTAGTTTTTGAGTGAAAAAATTGTTTGTAAAGTGTTACTTTACAAAACATCATTATTTTCAAAAAATCGTAACTCCATTAATAATAACTCAATCGCTTTGAGTTTTTGGTATTTTTTACATTGAATCATTAGGAAAAAGACCCCAAAATTTTAACTTTCCACTCCCCTTAGTTTTTGAGTGAAAAAATTGTTTGTAAAGTGTTACTTTACAAAACATCATTATTTTCAAAAAATCGTAACTCCATTAATAATAACTCAATCGCTTTGAGTTTTTGGTATTTTTTACATTGAATCATTAGGAAAAAGACCCCAAAATTTCAACTTTCCACTCTCCTTAGTTTTTGAGTGAAAAAATTGTTTGTAAAGTGTTACTTTACAAAACATCATTATTTTCAAAAAATCGTAACTCCATTAATAATAACTCAATCGCTTTGAGTTTTTGGTATTTTTTACATTGAATCATTAGGAAAAAGACCCCAAAATTTCAACTTTCCACTCCCTTTAGTTTTTGAGTGAAAAAATTGTTTGTAAAGTGTTACTTTACAAAACATCATTATTTTCAAAAAATCGTAACTCCATTAATAATAACTCAATCGCTTTGAGTTTTTGGTATTTTTTACATTGAATCATTAGGAACAAGACCCCAAAATTTCAACTTTCCACTCCCCTTAGTTTTTGAGTGAAAAAATTGTTTGTAAAGTGTTACTTTACAAAACATCATTATTTTCAAAAAATCGTAACTCCATTAATAATAACTCAATCGCTTTGAGTTTTTGGTATTTTTTACATTGAATCATTAGGAAAAAGACCCCAAAATTTTAACTTTCCACTCCCCTTAGTTTTTGAGTGAAAAAATTGTTTGTAAAGTGTTACTTTACAAAACATCATTATTTTCAAAAAATCGTAACTCCATTAATAATAACTCAATCGCTTTGAGTTTTTGGTATTTTTTACATTGAATCATTAGGAAAAAGACCCCAAAATTTCAACTTTCCACTCTCCTTAGTTTTTGAGTGAAAAAATTGTTTGTAAAGTGTTACTTTACAAAACATCATTATTTTCAAAAAATCGTAACTCCATTAATAATAACTCAATCGCTTTGAGTTTTTGGTATTTTTTACATTGAATCATTAGGAAAAAGACCCCAAAATTTCAACTTTCCACTCTCCTTAGTTTTTGAGTGAAAAAATTGTTTGTAAAGTGTTACTTTACAAAACATCATTATTTTCAAAAAATCGTAACTCCATTAATAATAACTCAATCGCTTTGAGTTTTTGGTATTTTTTACATTGAATCATTAGGAAAAAGACCCCAAAATTTCAACTTTCCACTCTCCTTAGTTTTTGAGTGAAAAAATTGTTTGTAAAGTGTTACTTTACAAAACATCATTATTTTCAAAAAATCGTAACTCCATTAATAATAACTCAATCGCTTTGAGTTTTTGGTATTTTTTACATTGAATCATTAGGAAAAAGACCCCAAAATTTCAACTTTCCACTCCCTTTAGTTTTTGAGTGAAAAAATTGTTTGTAAAGTGTTACTTTACAAAACATCATTATTTTCAAAAAATCGTAACTCCATTAATAATAACTCAATCGCTTTGAGTTTTTGGTATTTTTTACATTGAATCATTAGGAAAAAGACCCCAAAATTTCAACTTTCCACTCCCCTTAGTTTTTGAGTGAAAAAATTGTTTGTAAAGTGTTACTTTACAAAACATCATTATTTTCAAAAAATCGTAACTCCATTAATAATAACTCAATCGCTTTGAGTTTTTGGTATTTTTTACATTGAATCATTAGGAAAAAGACCCCAAAATTTCAACTTTCCACTCCCCTTAGTTTTTGAGTGAAAAAATTGTTTGTAAAGTGTTACTTTACAAAACATCATTATTTTCAAAAAATCGTAACTCCATTAATAATAACTCAATCGCTTTGAGTTTTTGGTATTTTTTACATTGAATCATTAGGAAAAAGACCCCAAAATTTTAACTTTCCACTCCCCTTAGTTTTTGAGTGAAAAAATTGTTTGTAAAGTGTTACTTTACAAAACATCATTATTTTCAAAAAATCGTAACTCCATTAATAATAACTCAATCGCTTTGAGTTTTTGGTATTTTTTACATTGAATCATTAGGAAAAAGACCCCAAAATTTCAACTTTCCACTCTCCTTAGTTTTTGAGTGAAAAAATTGTTTGTAAAGTGTTACTTTACAAAACATCATTATTTTCAAAAAATCGTAACTCCATTAATAATAACTCAATCGCTTTGAGTTTTTGGTATTTTTTACATTGAATCATTAGGAAAAAGACCCCAAAATTTCAACTTTCCACTCCCCTTAGTTTTTGAGTGAAAAAATTGTTTGTAAAGTGTTACTTTACAAAACATCATTATTTTCAAAAAATCGTAACTCCATTAATAATAACTCAATCGCTTTGAGTTTTTGGTATTTTTTACATTGAATCATTAGGAAAAAGACCCCAAAATTTCAACTTTCCACTCCCTTTAGTTTTTGAGTGAAAAAATTGTTTGTAAAGTGTTACTTTACAAAACATCATTATTTTCAAAAAATCGTAACTCCATTAATAATAACTCAATCGCTTTGAGTTTTTGGTATTTTTTACATTGAATCATTAGGAAAAAGACCCCAAAATTTCAACTTTCCACTCCCCTTAGTTTTTGAGTGAAAAAATTGTTTGTAAAGTGTTACTTTACAAAACATCATTATTTTCAAAAAATCGTAACTCCATTAATAATAACTCAATCGCTTTGAGTTTTTGGTATTTTTTACATTGAATCATTAGGAAAAAGACCCCAAAATTTCAACTTTCCACTCTCCTTAGTTTTTGAGTGAAAAAATTGTTTGTAAAGTAAAACTTTACAAAACATCATTATTTTCAAAAAATCGTAACTCCATTAATAATAACTCAATCGCTTTGAGTTTTTGGTATTTTTTACATTGAATCATTAGGAAAAAGACCCCAAAATTTCAACTTTCCACTCCCCTTAGTTTTTGAGTGAAAAAATTGTTTGTAAAGTAAAACTTTACAAAACATCATTATTTTTTTGAAAAAATCGTAACTCCAGTAATAATAACTCAATCGCTTTGAGTTTTTAGTATATCTGGGAATTTTCTCACAGTACCAAAAAAAGTTCCCACGTTCACGTGAAATTTCAGATCAAATACATTAACAATCTGTAAATTTTCCCACGGTATCGGAAAAGTTCCCGGGCGCAAGTACCGCCATATACCTACTCTCAATACCGTGAGAAAAATCATTTGCCTACCTTTAACAGTCAACTTCATTTCGGCCGAATCGGTACCGATTTCGTTCTCGGCCAGAATCGTGTAAACCCCGGCATCCTCAGACTTGACATCTTTGATAATCAAAGACATCGTTTCCTCGTCTTCGTACAAAAACTTATACTTGTTTCCGGCCTCTACCGCTTTGCCTTCGTGCTCGAATTTCAGCTGAGGCTTCGGGTACCCTTTGACTTGCACCTCGAGCATCGCCTGGTTTCCGGCCGCGACGACGATCGGCTCCCGTCTTTCGACGATCAGCTTCGGCTTTTCCGGTTCCCGGAACAGCTGATTGACGGTGCCGTGCACTGTCAACTCGGCGCTGCAACTGATGTGGCCTCTGGACGTCTGAGCGACGCACGTGTACATGCCGACGTCATCAGGTTTAACGTGCTGGAAAACCAAAGCCAAAGAATCTTCGTCGTCGCCCATTAAAACTTTGAAACGTTCGGGAGGTTCGAACGGCGCGCCGTCTTTTTTCCAATGGAAGTCCGGTTTTTCGCCTACGGGCAAAAGGTCGCCTTCTTCGAAAACTTGCTTGTGATCGGTGACGGTTACGCTGGCTTCCGACGAGGCTTCGCCGAATTTGTTCGTCGCGACGCACTTGTAGACGCCGGCGTCGGATTTTTTCACTTCGGGAATCACCAGCTCGTAGAAACCCTTGTCCGAGTGTTCGCGAATGGTTTGCATGCGGCTGTCGGCGTCCAGGATCTTTTTGCCATCTTTGAAACTGAAATTTTTTGCGAAAATCATTAATTTCCTAATCCCCACGCCACTGATCGGCTGGTCCCCTGTTGATGTAAACCCTGTCAACTACGAAATGTCAACAATACAAGACCAATATACAGTAATCATTTAATTTTTCCCGTGTATTCAACTTCCCTAAGAATTATCTTACAAATTGGCGCCCAACGTGGGGCCACGGTGAGTTTCAAGTTTCAGATTTTGGAAAAATAAAAATTCCATTGTATAGAGGAAGTCAAAACAAGGAAAAAAGCTATATAGTATTTTTCTTTGGAACGTCTCCTAAGCCTGGAAAAAAAAATTTAAAGAAAAATCTATCCAGCCTGACATGATCTTATTAAATCGGCCATAACTCTGGAACGCTTGGATCGATTTCAATAAATCATGTTCCATTCGACAGAGGATTAAATTGCCTACAAAATGGTTTCAACCAGAATTTCCAGATTTATCCCGTTTCCAAGTTACGAGCCTTCAAAGATGAAATTAATAAATTTCCCTTGAATAGACCAATATACAGTAGTCAGTCCGTGTATTCAACTTCCCTAAGAATTATCTTACAAATTGGCGCCCAACGTGGGGCCTTGGTGAGTTTCAAAACTGGTAGAGTTAATTACTGTGTACAAAATGACAACAATTTTGTCGAATTTTAACGTAAATCTTATGTAAAATTTACTTACAAGCTAATTTCCGGATTCGGTTCGCCGACAACTTTCACCATGAACCGCAAATAAGTGTTTTCCAAAAGCTCAGCGTCCTTCATGGACACCATAAATTCCGGCCGGTCGCTTTTGGCCCGCTCCTCTCTTTCCGCCGCGGAAACTGGAAATTATAATTTTAATATTATACATATATATATATATTTTTTTTTTGGTTTTTCCATAATATTGCACTCGCAGAAACAAAAAAAAAAAGAAAAACAACATAGAAAATCATCCTTGGACAAAGAAAACTTACCCAGTAAACACATATTTGTGACGTAAATTATATAGTGTGGCGGCGCCTTCGCCAGAACGCACAGAATTTAATAATTTAATGAAGAAAGTTATACAGGGATTCAGTAAAATTTGGGAATTTTCCCACGGTATCGAAAACGTTCCTTCAGATTAAAGGCGCCAACAATCTGAAAATTTTCCCACGGTATCGGAAAAAGTTCCCAAGTATCCTGTAATGTGATTTACAAAAATTGAGTCAATCACTGTGTTTACTGGGTATATTTTACTAACGTTGGTGAACCACTAGCTGGGCGGAACACGAAGCTTTCGCTTTCTCGTTCTGAGCCGCTGCCGTGTAAATACCGCCGTCTTCGTCTTTAACTTGTCTGATCGCCAATGTGTATTCGAGCCCGTTTTCGTCTGAGCTCGTCCGGATTCGGCCGCCGTCTTCTTCCGCCAGCGGTTTGCTATCTTTTAGCCATTTCAATTCCAAAGGTTTTTCTTTTAGCAAGACGCAGAAAAACGCGCTTTCGCCAGCTGTCGATGTTGTGGATTTAGAAGTTTTTTTTTTTTTAAATATTTTTCCAACATTCCAGAACGTTACTTATGTGGAAACTCGTTGAATTTCCGTGAAAATCGTTGAAAACAAATTTTAAACTCGTTTATTTATTTATTACACGCCACTGTTCCCCATCTGTTTTCCGAGAAATGCAATAATAATTTTTTTTGACATTGACAGCTGTCAAAAAATGTTGACACCGACAGGTCGCGCACCGAGTTTGAGGCTTTCAGCTTGTAAGGTAAAGCGTGCATATAACAGCTGTCAACAAATCTGGTGTGAGACGGATGAGCCCTTTTTTTGAAATTCCTTCTGCTTGTCAAAAATTTGACATTGACAGATGGCTAAATTGGCTGTGGAATTTTTTTTTTTGGGAGTTTAAAATTTGAAAATTCTCTAGAATGTTCCAAAACGTTCTGGAATGTTCCAATTCGAATTTAAAATTAATTCAACTCACGTTCAATGCTGGTGCCTCGAATTGTCTTGACGAAATGCGGCCGATCTCCCTCCATCTCTTCCAGTTTGTCTTCGGCCGATTTCGTCTGGATAATGTCCGGATTGGACGTCGGGACGGCGTCCTTTCGGCCAATCAACGAAGACTTTTGAGTTTTTGAAGCAATTTCGGACGATTCTGAAGCGATAACGGTCGTTTTGGACGATTCTGAGGCGACAAATTCTTCCACGTCAGTTTTGTAGTCCGATGTTGATTTTTTCGATGAAGACTCTTCTGAAACAATTAATCTTTATGAAGTCAAAATCGTCCATTTTCTAAGTCGCTTGAAGTTTGTACTAGACTTAGTACATTTTGCAGTTATGAATTTTTGTAGAATGATAATAAGGTAAAAAATTGAGATAAACAAGAAATAATGCCAAATTCGGAATCCTTGACCCCGAAAACCTCGAAAACGATATACAACTCGATATTTTCCGAAATTTGCGAAATGTTGCGAATTTTGGAAAAAATCGAGTTGTATGTCATTATCTAGGTTTTTGGGGTCATAGATTCCGAATTTGCCATTATTTTTCGTCTATCGCAAATTTTAAAGGTGAAAAATCGAGATAGACAAAAAATAATGTCAAATTCGGAATCCTTGACCCCGAAAACCTCGAAAACAACATACAACTCGATTTTTTCCGAAACTCGCAACATTTCGCAAATTTCGGAAAATATCGAGTTGTATGTCGTTTTCGAGGTTTTTGGAGTCAAAAATTCTGAATTTGACATTATTTTTTGCCTATCTCGATTTTTTACCTTCAAAATTCGCGATGGACGAAAAATAATGGCAAATTCGGTATCCCTGACCCCAAAAACCTCAAAAACGACATACAACTCGATTTTTTCCGAAATTCGCAACATTTCGCAAATTTCGGAAAATATCGAGTTGTATGTCGTTTACGAGGTTTTCGGGGTCAAGGATTCCGAATTTGACATTATTTTTTGTCAATTGCGAATTTTAAAGGTAAAAAATCGAGATAGACAAAAAATAATGTCAAATTCGGAATCCTCGACCCCAAAAGCCTCGAAAACGACATACAACTCGATTTTTTCCGAAATTCGCAATATTTCGCAAATTTCGGAAAATATCGAGTTGTATGTCGTTTTCGAGATTTTCGGGGTCAAGGATTCCGAATTCGACATTATTTTTTATCTATCGCGAATTTTGAAGGTAAAAAATCGACATAGACAAAAAATAATGTCAAATTCGGAATCCTTGACCCCGAAAATCTCGAAAACGACATACAACTCGATATTTTCCGAAATTTGCGAAATTTTGCGAATTTCGGAAAAAATCGAGTTGTATGTCGTTTTCGAGATTTTTGGGGTCAAAAATTCTGAATTTGACATTATTTTTTGCCTATCTCGATTTTTTACCTTCAAAATTCGCGATAGGCGAAAAATAATGGCAAATTCGGTATCCCTGACCCCAAAAACCTCAAAAACGACATACAACTCGATTTTTTCCGAAATTCGCAACATTTCGCAAATTTCGGAAAATATCGAGTTGTATGTCGTTTTCGAGGTTTTCGGGGTCAAGGATTCCGAATTTGGCATTATTTCTTGTTTATCTCAATTTTTTACCTTATTATCATTCTACAAAAATTCATAACTGCAAAATGTACTAAGTCTAGTACAAATTTCAAAAATGTTTTTCTTTGTCGTTGAAGAATTTTTTACAATTTTTCAAGAAAAATACAGGTAAAATGTACCAAAAATAAAATTTACTAAAATTAGTACAATTTTCAAAAATTGCTTCTCCTTGTTATTGGAGTCATTTTTACATTTTTTCAACGTTGAAATGTACTAAGAATTCATAACTGCAAAATGTACTAAGTCTAGTACAAATTTCAAAAAAAGTTTTTCTTTGTTGTTGGACTCTTGTTTACATTTTTTTAATGTTCAAATATACTAAAAATTCACAACTGCAAAATGTACTAAGTCTAGTACAATTTTCTAAAAATGTTTGTCTTCGTTGTTAGAGTCTTTTACAATTTTTTAACGTTGAAATGTACTGAAAATTCATAACTGCAAAATGTACTAAGTCTAGTACAAATTTCAAAAAATGTTTTTCTTTGTTGTTGGAGTCTTTTTTACAATTTTTTTACGTTGAAAAGTACTAAAAATTCATAATTGTAAAATGTACCAAGTCTAGTACAAATTCCAAAAATGTTTTTCTTTGTTGTTGGACTCTTGTTTACATTTTTTCAACGTTCAAATATACTAAAAATTCATAGTTGCAAAATGTACAAAGTCTAGTACAAATTTCAAAAAATGTTTTTCTTTGTTGTTGGAGTCTTTTTTACAATTTTTTTACTTTGAAATGTACTAAAAATTCATAACTGCAAAATCTACCAAGTCTAGTACAAATTTCAAAAAATGTTTTTCTTTGTTGTTGGAGTCTTTTTTACATTTTTTCAACGTTGAAATGTACTGAAAATTCATAACTGCAAAATGTACTAAGTTTAGTACAAATTCCAAAAATGTTTTTCTTTGTTGTTGGACTCTTGTTTACATTTTTTCAACGTTCAAATATACTAAAAATTCATAGTTGCAAAATATACAAAGTCTAGTACAAATTTCAAAAAATGTTTTTCTTTGTGTTGGAGTCTTTTTTATATTTTTTCAACGTTGAAATGTACTGAAAATTCATAACTGCAAAATGTACTAAGTCTAGTACAAATTCCAAAAATGTTTTTCTTTGTTGTTGGACTCTTGTTTACATTTTTTCAACGTTCAAATATACTAAAAATTCATAACTGCAAAATGTACAAAGTCTAGTACAAATTTCAAAAAATGTTTCTCTTTGTTGTAGGAGATTTTTTTACAATTTTTCAACATTAAAATATACTAAAAATTCATAACTGCAAAATGTACTAAGCCTAGTACAAATTTCAAAAAATGTTTTTCTTTGTTGTTGGAGTTTTTTTTACAATTTCTCAACATTGAAATGTACTGAAAATTCATAACTGCAAAATGTACTAAGTCTAGTACAAATTTCAAAAAATGTTTTTCTTTGTTGTTGGAGTTTTTTTTACAATTTCTCAACGTTGAAATGTACTGAAAATTCATAACTGCAAAATGTACTAAGTCTAGTACAAATTTCAAAAAATGTTTTTCTTTGTTGTTGGAGTCTTTTTTACAATTTTTTTACGTTGAAAAGTACTAAAAATTCATAATTGTAAAATGTACTAAGTCTAGTACAAATTCCAAAAATGTTTTTCTTTGTTGTTGGACTCTTGTTTACATTTTTTCAACGTTCAAATATACTAAAAATTCATAATTGCAAAATGTACAAAGTCTAGTACAAATTTCAAAAAATGTTTCTCTTTGTTGTAGGAGATTTTTTTACAATTTTTCAACATTAAAATATACTAAAAATTCATAACTGCAAAATGTACTAAGCCTAGTACAAATTTCAAAAAATGTTTTTCTTTGTTGTTGGAGTTTTTTTTACAATTTCTCAACGTTGAAATGTACTGAAAATTCATAACTGCAAAATGTACTAAGCCTAGTACAAATTTCAAAAAATGTTTTTCTTTGTTGTTGGAGTTTTTTTTACAATTTCTCAACGTTGAAATGTACTGAAAATTCATAACTGCAAAATGTACTAAGCCTAGTACAAATTTCAAAAAATGTTTTTCTTTGTTGTTGGAGTTTTTTTTACAATTTCTCAACGTTGAAATGTACTGAAAATTCATAACTGCAAAATGTACTAAGCCTAGTACAAATTTCAAAAAATGTTTTTCTTTGTTGTTGGAGTTTTTTTTACAATTTCTCAACGTTGAAATGTACTGAAAATTCATAACTGCAAAATGTACTAAGTCTAGTACAAATTTCAAAAAATGTTTTTCTTTGTTGTTGGAGTCTTTTTTACAATTTTTTTACGTTGAAAAGTACTAAAAATTCATAATTGTAAAATGTACTAAGTCTAGTACAAATTCCAAAAATGTTTTTCTTTGTTGTTGGACTCTTGTTTACATTTTTTCAACGTTCAAATATACTAAAAATTCATAATTGCAAAATGTACAAAGTCTAGTACAAATTTCAAAAAATGTTTCTCTTTGTTGTAGGAGATTTTTTTACAATTTTTCAACATTAAAATATACTAAAAATTCATAACTGCAAAATGTACTAAGCCTAGTACAAATTTCAAAAAATGTTTTTCTTTGTTGTTGGAGTTTTTTTTACAATTTCTCAACGTTGAAATGTACTGAAAATTCATAACTGCAAAATGTACTAAGCCTAGTACAAATTTCAAAAAATGTTTTTCTTTGTTGTTGGAGTTTTTTTTACAATTTCTCAACGTTGAAATGTACTGAAAATTCATAACTGCAAAATGTACTAAGCCTAGTACAAATTTCAAAAAATGTTTTTCTTTGTTGTTGGAGTTTTTTTTACAATTTCTCAACGTTGAAATGTACTGAAAATTCATAACTGCAAAATGTACTAAGCCTAGTACAAATTTCAAAAAATGTTTTTCTTTGTTGTTGGAGTTTTTTTTACAATTTCTCAACGTTGAAATGTACTGAAAATTCATAACTGCAAAATGTACTAAGTCTAGTACAAATTTCAAAAAATGTTTTTCTTTGTTGTTGGAGTCTTTTTTACAATTTTTTTACGTTGAAAAGTACTAAAAATTCATAATTGTAAAATGTACTAAGTCTAGTACAAATTCCAAAAATGTTTTTCTTTGTTGTTGGACTCTTGTTTACATTTTTTCAACGTTCAAATATACTAAAAATTCATAATTGCAAAATGTACAAAGTCTAGTACAAATTTCAAAAAATGTTTCTCTTTGTTGTAGGAGATTTTTTTACAATTTTTCAACATTAAAATATACTAAAAATTCATAACTGCAAAATGTACTAAGCCTAGTACAAATTTCAAAAAATGTTTTTCTTTGTTGTTGGAGTTTTTTTTACAATTTCTCAACGTTGAAATGTACTGAAAATTCATAACTGCAAAATGTACTAAGCCTAGTACAAATTTCAAAAAATGTTTTTCTTTGTTGTTGGAGTTTTTTTTACAATTTCTCAACGTTGAAATGTACTGAAAATTCATAACTGCAAAATGTACTAAGCCTAGTACAAATTTCAAAAAATGTTTTTCTTTGTTGTTGGAGTTTTTTTTACAATTTCTCAACGTTGAAATGTACTGAAAATTCATAACTGCAAAATGTACTAAGCCTAGTACAAATTTCAAAAAATGTTTTTCTTTGTTGTTGGAGTTTTTTTTACAATTTCTCAACGTTGAAATGTACTGAAAATTCATAACTGCAAAATGTACTAAGCCTAGTACAAATTTCAAAAAATGTTTTTCTTTGTTGTTGGAGTTTTTTTTACAATTTCTCAACGTTGAAATGTACTGAAAATTCATAACTGCAAAATGTACTAAGTCTAGTACAAATTTCAAAAAATGTTTTTCTTTGTTGTTGGAGTCTTTTTTACAATTTTTTTACGTTGAAAAGTACTAAAAATTCATAATTGTAAAATGTACTAAGTCTAGTACAAATTCCAAAAATGTTTTTCTTTGTTGTTGGAGTCTTTTTTACAATTTTTTTACGTTGAAAAGTACTAAAAATTCATAATTGTAAAATGTACTAAGTCTAGTACAAATTCCAAAAATGTTTTTCTTTGTTGTTGGACTCTTGTTTACATTTTTTCAACGTTCAAATATACTAAAAATTCATAATTGCAAAATGTACAAAGTCTAGTACAAATTTCAAAAAATGTTTCTCTTTGTTGTAGGAGATTTTTTTACAATTTTTCAACATTAAAATATACTAAAAATTCATAACTGCAAAATGTACTAAGTCCAGTACAAATTTCAAAAAATGTTTGTCTTCGTTGTTAGAGTCTTTTACAATTTTTCAACGTTGAAATGTACTGAAAATTCATAACTGCAAAATGTACTAAGCCTAGTACAAATTTCAAAAAATGTTTTTCTTTGTTGTTGGAGACTTTTTTACAATTTATTTTTCAACAAAAATCCAGTTGAAATATACCAAAAATAAACTGTACTAAAATTAGTACAATGTTCAAAAATTGCTTTTCCTTGTTGTTGGAGTCTTTTTTACAATTTTTCAACCTTGAAATGTACTAAAAATTCATAACTACAAAATGTACTAAGTCTAGTACAAATTTCAAAAAAAGTTTTTTTTCGTTGTTGGAGTCTTTTTTACATTTTTTCAACGTTAAAATATACTAAAAATTCACAACTGCAGAATGTACTAAGTCTAGTACAAATTTCAAAAAATGTTTGCTTCGTTGTTAGAGTCTTTTACAATTTTTTTACGTTGAAATGTACTAAAAATTCATAATTGTAAAATGTACTAAGTCTAGTACAAATTTCAAAAAATGTTTTTCTTTGTTGTTGGAGACTTTTTTACAATTTATCTTTCAACAAAAATACAGTTGAAATGTACCAAAAATAAACTGTACTAAAATTAGTACAATTTTCAAAAATTGCTTTTCCTTGTTGTTGGACTCTTGTTTACATTTTTTCAACGTTCAAATATACTAAAAATTCATAATTGCAAAATGTACAAAGTCTAGTACAAATTTCAAAAAATGTTTTTCTTTGTTGTTGGAGTCTTTTTTTCAATTTTTCAACCTTGAAATGTACTAAGAATTTATAACTACAAAATGTACTGAGTCTAGTACAAATTTCAAAAATCGTACTGAAATAATCTGATTAGTAAAACCACTTACCGACTCCAATCCTAGGAGATTTAGTCTCGCTAGACTTTTGATTCCTCAAATACTTCCTGGCGTATTTTTCATAAGGATCGTCTTCGACAACAGATTCTTTTCTGGATTCGGTCCTGGAATACTTCCTGGCGAATTTCGCGTAAACATCTTCTTCTTCTTCTTTTTCTTCCTTGCCAGTTTTCGAATATTTATTAATCAATTCTTCTGTGTCTTTCGGATCCAGAGATCTTCTGATCCTGACGTCATCGTCCAGGGCCGATCTGAGCGATATTCTCCTATCTGTCGAAAGTTCTGAGCCATACTTTGAAGATTCTAAGTCGTACTTTAGGCCGTATTTGGAAGCAGCTTCTGAGCCGTACTTTGAAGAAGATTCTGAGCCATATTTTGAAGATTCTAGGCCATATTTTGTAGCAACTTCTGAGTCGTACTTTGAAGAAAAATCTGTGCCATATTTTGAAGATTCCAGGCCATATTTTGAAGTAGCTTCTGAGTCGTACTTTGAAGCAGTTTCTGAGCCGTACTTTGAAGAAACTTCTGAGCCGTACTTTGAAGATTCTAATTCATACTTTAGGCCATATTTCGAAGCAACTTCTGAGCCGTACTTTGAAGAGGAATCTGTGCCATATTTTGAAGATTCCAAGCCATATTTTGAAGCAGTTTCTGAGCCGTATTTTGAAACAATTTCTGAGTCAGCAGCTTCTGAGCCGTACCTTGACGCCTTCCGAGTTGATCTTCTCGTGTAAGAAGATTCGTAACCTCCCGCGCCCTCTGTGAAGGTGTTTCGGACATTAACAAACGTTGATTTAGCGAAGCTTTTCTGAAGCCTTTTTCTGATCAGCAGCGCATGTTTGATCTTCTGAGCCAAACGGTTAGTAAACACAAAAAACGCACGCACGCAATTAGGTACTAGCTGACGTCACACAAGAAAATTTTTCTGAGTCAATATTTTCTGAGTCAAAAAAAATTTCTAACTGAATTTTTTTGCGTTATTTTCGAATTTTGTCTGAATTACAAACTCAAGAAAAATCAAAGAAAATTTTTCTGAGTCAATATTTGAGTAGAAAATATTTTTTCTGAGTCGAAAATTCTAATATTTTTGCGTTTATTTTTGGATTTTGCCTGAATTACAAACTCAAGAAAAATCAAAGAAAATTTTTCTGAGTCGATATTTAAGTAGAAAATATTTTTTCTGAGTCGTGAAAAAAAATTCTGAGTTAAAAATTCTAGTTTATTTGCGTTATTTTTGGATTAAGCCTTAATTAAAAATTCAAGAAAAGTCAAAGAAAATTTTTCCGAGTCGATATTTAAGTAGAAAATATTTTTTCTGAGTCGTGAAAAAAATTCTGAGTCGAAAATTCTAATTTCTTTACGTTATTTTTGGATATTGCCTTAAGTACAAACTCAAGAAAAATCAGTCGAACTATAGTTTGTTTGTCTCGTCAACGAAAGTGAGGTTATGCGCGTGACGTCAGCTCTGGTGCCTGATTAATTCCAACCAATCAAAGCAAAATTATCAAATCTTTTCTAACCTCGGGTGGTGGACGAAGAAGAAGTAAATCGTTTGCTCATGTCGACATTGAGTTCGACTCCAACGTTGAAATCGGTGGTACCGCCGGGTGGTACCACTTGCGTCCCTTCGATACTGTAAAGTTTGGCGAAGGCGCTGCCGGGTACTCGTTCCGGAATCGGTTTCGGGTGGTACTCGATCTTTTGTTCGGGTACTCGAGGTTTGTTCACTTGCACCAGCGGTTCTACCGCTTTCAATAGCCTCGGATGATCTGAAACTAAAATTAATCAAGAATATTACCATTGATGACGTCATTGGAAGATCTATTGAAAATATTGTTTACGAATTTGCGACATTTCGGAAAAAGTCGAGTTGTATGTCGTTTTCGAGGTTTTCGGGGTCAAGGATTCCGAATTCGACATTATTTTTTATCTATCGCGAATTTTGAAGGTAAAAAATCAACATAGACAAAAAATAATGTCAAATTCGGAATCCTTGACCCCGAAAATCTCGAAAACGACATACAACTCGACTTTTTCCGAAATGTCGCAAATTCGTAACATTTCGGGAAAAGTCGAGTCGTATGTCGTTTTCGAGGCTTTTGGGGTCGAGGATTCCGAATTTGACATTATTTTTTGTCTATCTCGATTTTTTACCTTCAAAATTCGCGATAGTTAAAAAATAATGGCGAATTCGGAATCCTTAACCTCAAAAACCTCGAAAACGACATACAACTCGATATTTTCCGAAATTTGCGAAATGTTGCGAATTTCGAAAAAAATCGAGTTGTATGTCGTTTTCGAGGTTTTCGGGGTCAAGGATTCCGTATTTGTCATTATTTTTTGTTTATCTCGATTTTTTACTTTTAAAATCCGCGATAGACGAAAAATAATACCAAATTCGGAGACCTTGACCCCAAAAACCTAGAAAACGACATACAACTCGATTTTTTCCAAAATTCGCAACATTTCGCATATTTCGGAAAATATAGTATAGACGAAAAATAATGGTAAATACGGAATCCTTAACCTCAAAAACCTCGAAAACGACATACAACTCGATTTTTTTCGAAATTCGCAACATTTCGCAAATTTCGGAAAAAATCGAGTTGTATGTCGTTTTCGAGGTTTTCGGGGTCAAGGATTCCGAATATGGTATTATTTTTTGTCTATCTCAATTTTTTACCTTATTATCATTCTACATACTTTGTTCGTTTATTGGTTCTTCTATTATTAACGGAGGTTCGGAAGTTTTGACGCCATTTCTCGAATCGTTAATGTGGCTCAGTGGTTCGACGGCTTCGATCCGTTCCAAATGGACAACTTCTACTGATTCTGGAAAAAATTATTAATATTTTATTTATGTATTATTTCCGCCGTCAATTTTCAAGTTCAAAATTGTCTTACCTGAAGTTAGAACTTCTTTTTTCGTACCGGTAACTTGTTCTTTGAGTTCCGAAATCAATTTGTCTACCAGTTTCGGTGCGGGTGGTTCCTCTTCTTCTTTTTTCAGTTTTTTCGCAACGGGTTCCGCTCGCGCGGTTCCGCCGAGTTCCGGTGCGGTTTGGATCTCGTCGCTGTCGCTTTTAGCGGATTCCGAGATTTTCCGCACCCACAACCGTTTGACGCCGGCGCGATGCGCCTTGAGCTGCAGCGATTGGCCGCCGACTTTTTCGACGAGCTCGAACGAGTACTCGTCGTTCGGATGATCCTTGATTTCGACTCGGGGGAGCTGAAAACGAACTGAATTGTACTAAATTTAGTACAATTTTGAAGAGATAAATTACGCTGATGACGTCTTTTAGCTGGAAAACGGACCGGTCGTCGGATATCCGTCTGACTTTGCAAATGAGTACTCGAGTCCTGAAGAGGAACAAGTACCGTTCTTTGTCGACGTCCCCGAAACGAACGGTGAAACGGTCGTGAGCCCAAAGTCGTCCCAACTTGCGCACGCTCCCTTTGTATCCTTCGATGTTCGACGTGAATTTGTCGTCCTGAGCCCGATGAGGGACGCTGAGCATCAACTCGAGGGCCTTTTCCAAGTCCGAGGTGTTTTCGCTCAGACAGACGCCGTACCTTATGAGTTCCTGGAAGTTTTCAGTATGAGTATTTTTAATAATACGTTTTTTTTAATTTTCTTGAATTGATTTTTTTGACATTATTTTTTGTCCATGTCTATTTTTTATCTTTAAAATTCGCGATAGACGAAAAATAATGGCGAATTCGGAATCCTTGACCTCAAAAACTTCGAAAACGACATACAACTCGATTTTTTCCGAAATTCGCAACATTTCGCATATTTCGGAAAAAATCGAGTTGTATGTCGTTTTCGAGGTTTTTGAGGTTAAGGATTCTGAATTTGACATTATTTTTTGTTTATCTCGATTTTTTATCTTTAAAATTCGCGATAGACGAAAAATAATGGCAAATTCGGAATCCTTGACCCCAAAAACCTCGAAAACAACTCGATTTTTGCCGAAATTCGCAACATTTCGCATATTTCGAAAAATATCGAGTTGTATGTTGTTTTCGAGGTTTTTGGGGTCAAAGATTGTAAATTTGATATTATTTTTTGCTTATCGCGATTTTTTACCTTTAAAATTCGCGATACACGAAAAATAATGGCAAATTCGGAATCCTTGACCCCAAAAACCTCGTAAACGACATATAACTCGATTTATTCCGAAATTCGCAACATTTCGCAAATTTCGGAAAATATCGAGTTGTATGTCGTTTTCGAGGTTTTTGAGGTTAAGGATTCTGAATTTGACATTATTTTTCGTTTATCTCGATTTTTTACCTTTAAAATTCGCGATAGACGAAAAATAATGGCAAATTCGGAATCCTTGACCCCAAAAACCTCGAAAACGACATACAACTCGATTTTTTCCGAAATTCGCAACATTTCGCATATTTCGGAAAATATCGAGTTGTATGTCGTTTTCGAGGTTTTTGAGGTTAAGGATTCTGAATTTGACATTATTTTTTGTTTATCTCGATTTTTTATCTTTAAAATTCGCGATAGACGAAAAATAATGGCAAATTCGGAATCCTTGACCCCAAAAACCTCGAAAACGACATACAACTCGATTTTTTCCGAAATTCGCAACATTTCGCATATTTTGGAAAATATCGAGTTGTATGTTGTTTTCGAGGTTTTTGGGGTCAAAGATTGTAAATTTGATATTATTTTTTGCTTATCGCGATTTTTTACCTTTAAAATTCGCGATAGACGAAAAATAATGGCAAATTCGGAATCCTTGACCCCAAAAACCTCGAAAACGACATATAACTCGATTTATTCCGAAATCGCAACATTTCGCAAATTTCGGAAAATATCGAGTTGTATGTCGTTTTCGAGGTTTTTGGGGTCAAAGATTCTAAATTTGACATTATTTTTTGCTTATCTCGATTTTTTACCTTTAAAATTCGCGATAGACGAAAAATAATGGCAAATTCGGAATCCTTGACCCCAAAAACCTCGAAAACGACATACAACTCGATTTTTTCCGAAATTCGCAAATTTCGGAAAATATCGAGTTGTATGTCGTTTTCGAGGTTTTTGAGGTTAAGGATTCTGAATTTGACATTATTTTTCGTTTATCTCGATTTTTTACCTTTAAAATTCGCGATAGACGAAATATAATGGCAAATTCGGAATCCTTGACCCCAAAAACCTCGAAAACGACATACAACTCGATTTTTTCCGAAATTCGCAACATTTCGCAAATTTCGGAAAAAATCGAGTTGTATGTCGTTTTCGAGGTTTTTGGGGTCAAGGATTCCAAATTTGACATTATTTTTTGTCTATCTCGATTTTTTACCTTCAAAATTCGCGATGGACGAAAACTAATGGCAAATTCGGAATCCTTGACCCCAAAAACCTCGTAAACGACATATAACTCGATTTATTCCGAAATTCGCAACATTTCGCAAATTTCGGAAAATATCGAGTTGTATGTCGTTTTCGAGGTTTTTGAGGTTAAGGATTCTGAATTTGACATTATTTTTCGTTTATCTCGATTTTTTACCTTTAAAATTCGCGATAGACGAAAAATAATGGCAAATTCGGAATCCTTGACCCCAAAAAACCTCGAAAACGACATACAACTCGATTTTTTCCGAAATTCGCAACATTTCGCATATTTCGGAAAATATCGAGTTGTATGTCGTTTTCGAGGTTTTTGAGGTTAAGGATTCTGAATTTGACATTATTTTTCGTTTATCTCGATTTTTTATCTTTAAAATTCGCGATAGACGAAAAATAATGGCAAATTCGGATTCCTTGACCCCAAAAACCTCGAAAACGACATACAACTCGATATTTTCCGAAATTCGCAACATTTCGCATATTTGGAAAATATCGAGTTGTATGTTGTTTTCGAGGTTTTTGGGGTCAAAGATTGTAAATTTGATATTATTTTTTGCTTATCGCGATTTTTTACCTTTAAAATTCGCGATAGACGAAAACTAATGGCAAATTCGGAATCCTTGACCCCAAAAACTTCGAAAATGACATACAACTCGATTTTTTCCGAAATTCGCAACATTTCGCAAATTTCGGAAAAAATCGAGTTGTATGTCGTTTTCGAGGTTTTTGGGGTCAAGGATTCCAAATTTGACATTATTTTTTGTCTATCTCGATTTTTTACCTTCAAAATTCGCGATGGACGAAAACTAATGGCAAATTCGGAATCCTTGACCCCAAAAACTTCGAAAACGACATACAACTCGATTTTTTCCAAAATTCGCAACATTTCCTGGAATGATTTTCCACTGGAAAATTTTGAAATTTTCCTATAATGAGCTCTTGACTTTCCGCTTTTTCCTGTAAAAAATTCACATTTTTCTCTTTGCCAGTTTTCCAGGAAAAAATTAAAATGCAAGAGAGTGATGAATTTTCTATAATTTTGTTTATAAGAGTCAATTTTCTGAAATTTTTCCTGGATTTATTTTCCAGTGGAAAATTTTGAAATCTTTCTATAATGAGCTTACTTACTTTCCTCTTTCTCATGTAAAAATTTCGAAATTTTCACTCCAGGAAAAATTCCAGAAAATTGAGTTTTATAGGCAAAATTATGAAAAATTCACCCTCATACATTTTAATTTTTTCCTGGAAAATTGGTGAAGAAATAATTGTGAAGTTTTTCCAGGAGAAAGAGGAAAGTCAGGAACTTATTATTGGAAAATTTCAAAATTTTTCAGTGGAAAATTATTTCAGGAAAAAATCCAGAAAATTGATTTTTATAAACAAAATTATGAAAAATTCACCCTCATACATTTTAATTTTTTCTTGGAAAACTGGCAAAAAGAAAATTGTGAAATTTTTACAGAAGAGAGAGGAAAGTGTGGAGCTCATTATAGGAAAATTTCAAAATTTTCCAATGGAAAATCATTCCAGGAAAAATTCCAGAAAATTGACTTCTATAGGCAAAATTGGCATTATTATTATTAGAAATGTAGATTAATAGATTTAGGACTTGACATTGCGAAGGCGTCCGAAATGCGGGTCGACATCATCAATGTCTAATTTTAATTTTCTAAAAATAAAACTTCAACAATTTTTTGTGTAAAATTTCGCAACATTCATCTTACTCACTCGCATATGATTTACTCAAATAACTTCATCTCACTTCAACTCAAAAAGCCTAATTTCTCAAGAAATTTTTCACTTACTTTTAACAAAAGCTGGTAGTCGTTGATCCTTTGAATCGGCAATTTCAAATGTTCGATTATCGTCTTGTCGTCGCCCAAACGGTTCGATAACTCCTGCAAATTTACGGATATTTTTTTATTTAGAACTTCGAGTGACGTCACTAAAAAAAGGGCGCCCGATGACGTAACCACCTTTTTTCGAATGATTTTTTTTTCGCACTTCGGCGGACTCGGCACGACTGGCGAGAAAGTGTAGGGAAAAAGGCGTCGCGACGGCGGGTCTAAATTTAAAATTCAACGTCGCCTACGTAATAATCGAATTTTTGCGCGTTTAACAGCAGATAAACAATCTGTCAATATGACAGCAAACAATGGTCTGAGCAACGAAATTGTCAAAAATAAATTGACAGCTTTGTAGACAATTTAATTAGGAAAAAGTCCCCAAAATTTCAACTTTACACTCCCCTTAGTTTTTGACTAAAAAAATTGTTTGTAAAGTCTTACTTTACAAAATATCATTATTTTCAAAAAATCGTAACTCCATTAATAATAACTCAATGGCTTTGAATTTTTGGTATTTTTTACATTGAACTTTTAGGAAAAAGTCTTCAAAATTTCAGGTGGAATATTACTAATTTCTGAGTCATGCTCACCGCGAAATAATCGTAGGCGGCCTCGGACGAGTCGAGAAATTCCCGAGCCAAGTGCTCGTCCCTGCAGTAGTTCACGTGATTGTCGAAATCCCTTTCGAGTCGCAGAAAGGCTTTGCCCAAAAGGGCCGGTTCGTTAGAGTAGTACTTCACACCATCCATCAAAACCCTTAAAATTAAGTTTTTTAGTAGGAAAAACCATTTTTGAAACATCCTGTATATCTTGATTATACAAGGTGTTCCAGAAATGGTAGGGGTGGCACCACACAAGGTATTTACGTTCTATGAAATTCGGCAATTTCCTTGAGATTGCCGAAAAGCACCTGGAAGTTGTCCCTGACGATTTTCGGTGTTTTTCCGGATTCGGCGGGCAATAAATAGTGTTCGACCACGTAGTCCAAATCTCTGACGAATTCCTGTTCGGTTTCGACCAGCTCCTTGACCACTGCCCTGGAAAATCGTCATGTTATCGACAGTGTTGCCAACTCTGAACCAATACATTTGAATTCAGTAAA